ACCCGATAATTCCCCACTTGCTCCAGTAATCATAACCTAACGTTTCCCGACATAAATCCTACCACTTATTCTCATCTTCATTAAACAAAGCTAGATTTCTACCGATCGAATCAATTTCGACCTAAAACGGAAATTATAGGAAACTCTCCAAAACCCTAACTCAATCAACCATACACATACATAATCATACATATTGATTTAGATAGTAAGATTTCACACCCTTACCTTGGATTAATCGAAGCTTTGAGTTGTTCTTGATGATCCCACACTTTTCTTCTTCTTCTTCTCTTTTCTCCTCCTTTTCCTTCTTTCTCTTTTCTTTCCTTCCTTTTCTCTTATGTTTCTTTTCTCTTCTATTTCCCTTTTAATATCCTTCTCATTATTTCTCCAAAACATCTATTAATTCAATGTCCCATAAAATATCCCACTTATCATTAAATAGGAAATGTCCAAAATACCCTCCAAACTATTTTCCCCGAAAACTCTCAAAATTGGTTAAAATAGAATAATATGTAAACTTAACATATTTCCACACAAATTCCATATCAAAAACAATATTCGTCCAATTAAATTAAGTAGGTATTCGATAAAAGAGACAATCGAAATCAGGGCGTTACAGAAGGCGCCTAGAAAAATTTGTGGAGTTACCTTTGAGAAGTAGATCATCAACATAGGCAAGAAAGTAGGCCATAATGTTGCCTTTCTTGTAAATGAACAGGGACAAATCAAATTTTGGTTTGGTAAAACCATAGTTTGCTACAAATGAGTATAATTCATTGTACCATGCATGTGGAGCTTGCTTAAGGCCGTAGAGAGACTTGTGAAGTTTACAAACATATAGACTTCTTCATTAAGAAATTCATTGAGGAAAGCATTATTAACGTCCAATTGCATAAGAGACCACCCCTTAGAAAGAGAAATGCATAACACCATTTTGATTGTTTGTGGTTTGATAACAGGGTTAAATAGTCCTAGTTGTTCACCATTTGGATTCCTTTTTAGACGAAACTTCCTGTTGATTACCAGGAGAAGAAGGTGACTCCCTTTTTAAATAAATGGACGTGCAGTTTATTCACAAAGCAAGGACATCTAATCATTAAATTTTTCAACAATACTCATCCTCCATATTTTAGAATCTACTGCATAATTTTATCAAACACTTGGTGGACATACTTGAAACTTAAATAAATCAACAACAAACTAAAAGAGGAAGGAAAAGAAATAAGATATTGTTGGAGAAGAAGCGTAAACATGTTCATTGAAATTTTAGAGTGTTCAAAGTCTCATTCTTCTAGCTTTGTCTCTCAACATCAGTGACAAATAAATAAAACCATATTGTAATCATGATGTATGATACAATAAACATGAAAAAATGCATAAAGAATCAAGAATCAAACTTCGCCTTTGTTGTTCGAAAACTTTAAAGATTTCTGAACTTGAGTCGATCTGTCTTCTGTCTTCCTTCTTTGGCTCTTCTCCAAGCTTGTTAGCGATATGGAGTGGTGAAATTTTTAGCTCCTTCAAAGCCTTTTAATTATGATGATTTCAAAGTAGAGTTTAGAAGCAATTTAACGATGATAATTTTAAAGCAGAGTTTGGAAGCAATCGTCTAACTTTTCCATTTCCTCTTGATTGTATTGGCAGACTTTGCTCGTACACGTGTGACCTTTATGTTTAGATAATTTAAAAATAACGGAGCGGAGCGGAACAGAACGGAATAAGACGAAGTGTAATGGAGTGGAACGGAATATAAACTTCATTCCACTGTTTGGATATTTTACAACGGAGTGGAACTAATATCTCATTCCACTGTTTGGAAATTGTACGGAGCGAAAAGCATTATAACTTTTTTTATTCCATTTTTACTATTTGTTATAACATCATATCAAAATCAGAACAAATAGATTAAGAATTTTTAAAACAAATCAAATATATAATTTCAATCCTAAATTAATTAAGAATCTTTATAGCAAATCAAAACTTATGTTACTAATAATTATTTTTCTATTAGCCAATTTTATGTTACAATAACTAATTTTAGTTTTTCTCTATACATAATAAGAATACAATCAACGTGAATAGTAGTGAAAAGCAACAGGAACAGTAGTTTTGCAACAAATCTAATTTTTACTTTTATTCTTAATAAAAAGTTAATTTAACATACAAAATGTAACACCTGAGGTGAAAGAGGACGGCGGTTACATGTAACACCCGTGGGCGAGGGAGTGGTTGTCGGTGTCATGAGGCATGACAATGAGACACTCCTAGCAGCTTCTAGGGGAAAACCCGAATTCACATCGGAATGAGAGGGATCATGAGGCTGGGCAGGTATGGGACTGCATGGTTGAATGAAGGCTTATAAGGATTAATTGATACTACCTATACCAACAAGATGCATCTTCTTTTCGGTAGCCCGTTCATAAGAACTCCACAGTTAAGCGTGCTTGACTTGGAGCAATTCTGGGATGGGTGACCTTCTGGGAAGTTTCCTGGAAAGTGTGTGATTGAGGACAAAGCATGCTGAAAAGACCCGTGTTGGTTTGTGGGGTAAGTCGGTAATCTTGAAAGCAATATGGGGCGTTACAAATGGTATCAGAGCCATACCTCTCCCAGTACGATGTGGTTCGGGGACGAACCAAGCGGAAGCTGGTGGGCATGTAACACCTGAGGTGAAAGAGGACGGCGGTTACATGTAACACCCGTGGGCGAGGGAGTGGTTGTCGGTGTCATGAGGCATGACAATGAGACACTCCTAGCAGCTTCTAGGGGAAAACCCGAATTCACATCGGAATGAGAGGGATCATGAGGTTGGGCAGGTATGGGACTGCATGGTTGAATGAAGGCTTATAAGGATTAATTGGTACTACCTATACCAACAAGATGCATCTTCTTTTCGGTAGCCCGTTCATAAGAACTCCACAGTTAAGCGTGCTTGACTTGGAGCAATTTTGGGATGGGTGACCTTCTGGGAAGTTTCCTGGAAAGCATTGTTTTATTAATTGATTCCATTCTATTGGATACACCCCAATTTGAGGAATGAAAAATGAGACAAAATAGCGGTATTGGATGGAATGTGTTCCATCATACCCCATTCCATTTCATTCAATTTTTATAAATTCAAACAATGGAACATAACTCCACTACACTCCATTACATTCCATCCCTTTCCATCAATCCAAACAGAAGCAAAGTGAAGTTTCAAATTTATTAAAAAATAGAATGTGCCTCTTAGTATTTGCATAAAGAATGTAAAATCTAATTATAATGTATAGTAAATAAGCATGGTAAATGATGAGTAAATTAGTAAAAGTCATCCATTAATGAAATTAAGTGTATTTAATCTAAATTAACTCTAATTAGTAATCAATTGAAACTAACTTAAAAAATACGCTTAAGAAAAATTAATTGTATGTTACTTTCATTGATAAATATTATATTATATCATGATTATCCTACTTGAAATTAGGGGTGTGCATCAATTATAAACCAAACCAAACCACATATATGGTTTGGTTTAGATCTTAAAACCATTTATATAAAATCGGTTTATTTTTTTAAAATCAGTTTACAAGTGGATTGGTTCGGTTTCAAATCGGTTTTTTAAAAAAAAAAACAGTTTTTTTAAAAACCAGTTTTAAATCGGTTTCTCTCAAAACCTGTTTTTTATTTTCTTTAAAAAATCAATTTTAAAATCAATTTTAAAAAAAAAAAATCAATTTCATTGCAAATTATCAAATAATTGATAAACCACCTGAAACTTATTATACTTTAAACTTATTGCAAACTATCAAATAATTGATATAAATCAATTAATCAATTTTATTCCAGTTTTACATTAAATTAAATCAACACCCCATATATCTTAAACTTTAAACTACTCAATGTAAAACTGGAATTAGAATAATTCATTTTCATCGTGAATTAAATCAATTAATTGAGAAGTACATTGAATTGATATAAATCAATTAATCGTGAAACTTATTCTACTTTAAACTTATTGCAAACCATCTACCTTAAACTTATTCTACTTTAAACCAAATCAATTTTATTGCAAACTAGGGGTGTTGATTTTGATTTTCTCAAACTATTCTACTTTTGTTTTTGAAGCTTATTGAAAAATGGTTACTAAATCTCAATACAGTTTGAAACAAATGGTTATCGGTTTTTTTATAATTTGATAAATGGGCCACCAAATTTAAAATATAAATTTGGACTGGATTTTAAAATTTGAATTAAATTTAGATAGGAATTTGATTAATGGTTATTTTGCACACCCCTACTTGAAATAAGACGATAAAATTTTAAATATTTGTTAGTATAATATTTTTTAAACCAAGACCATGTTATGAACAATAGAAGTACCACTCTAATACATATACTAGAATCCAAACATAAACATATCTTAAATGTTTTTTTCTCCAAATAATTTAATAATTGAAATTCATCATATAAACAAATGAGATGTTGCAGAAATTTATCATTTAAAAATAAATAAAATGTTATAAGTTTGAATTTGCATTCCTTACATTTGATGTCTCTCTACCGCTATCTATTGAATTGATTTACCAAAATTATTCTAAGATATTTAAACAACTTTGTGTATAATTTTTATTTATTCAATAGTTAACACTCTCAAATAACAACCCTAGGGTGATTCATCTTCACAGTCAAAAAAGAAAATCTAATTGAACACTTAGGTGATTTAACTTCACAATCAAAAAAGAAAATCTAATTGAACACTTGAAACAAAACCGCATTGGTAATTTGGTAATGGTAGTAGTAGGAAAAAACTTCACGCACGTGATGCAAGAAAGCATCACTAGCACACTCCACAAATGAAATGAATGCAGAAGCATAACCCCGCGGCTATGGAAAAGCCACGATTTCATCAAATCTCCTAACTTGTCTTCTCTTCTCTCTCAACAATTCCTCTTTCAAATGCATTGCAATTGCTCATCATAAAACCCCAACACGAACCCCTCTTTGTTCATGGCTTTTAAATGAGAAAATCTAAACCCCTTTTCAACCTTCTCCACAACAACCATAACCAAAACCCCAATCTTTTTCACCTTCTCCTCAAACCCTTTTCTTCTCTCAACCAACAACCCCACCTCGTTTCACAAATCTTCACCGTCCTTTCTCAACCCCAATGGCGAAAAAACCCTTCTTTTAACACCTTAATCCCTTCCCTAACCCCAACCCATCTCTCTTCTCTCTTCAACCTCGACCTCCACCCTCTCACAGCTCTAAACTTCTTCAAATGGATCAATCACCAACACGGATTCATCCATACTGTCCACTCCTACCAACCCCTCCTTTTCATTCTAGTTCGAAATGGGTTCCTTCGTGCTGCGGAAAATGTTCGAAACTCCATGATCAAGTCGTGTGATTCCCCACAAGAAGCAAGCTTTGTTTTGAACCTATTGCGGCTAATGAATACAACCCATCATGAAAATCTCGCGTTTAAGCTCTCTGTTACTTCGTATAATAGACTTCTTATGTTGTTGTCGCGGTTTGCTTTGGTCGATGAATTGAATTTTTTGTTTAAGGATATGTTGGAGGATGGGGTTTTGCCTAATTTGATTACTTTCAATACTATGTTGAATGTTTATTGTAAGCTGGGGGATGTGGTTGTGGCCAAGGCTTATTTTTGTGGATTAATAAAGAGTGGTTTTTGTTGTGATACGTTTACTTATACTTCCTTGATATTGGGTTATTGTAAAAATCATGAATTGGAGAATGCTTATAAGGTGTTTGAGATTATGCCGCGGGAGGGTTGTCGAAGGAATGAGGTTTCCTATACTAATCTTATTCATGGTTTTTGTGAAGCTGGGAAGCTTGATGAGGCTCTCGAGTTGTTCTTTCAAATGAAGGAGGATGGTTGTTTTCCAACTGTTCGGACTTATACGATTCTCATAGCTGCATTGTGCGAGTTGGGGAAGGAGGCGGAAGCTCTGAAGTTTTTTGAGGAGATGGTGGAAAGACGTTGTGTGCCTAATGTTTATACTTATGTTGTGTTGATTGATTATTTCTGCAAGGTTGGTAAGATGGAAGAGGGGATGAAAATATTGAAAACAATGTTGGAGAAAGGGTTGGTTTCTAGTGCTGTTCCATTTAATGCCTTGATTTCTGGGTATTGTAAACGGGCAATGATGGAGGATGCCATCGGTGTTTTGGATTTAATGAAGTCGAATAAAGTTTGCCCAAATGAACGAACTTATAATGAACTAATTTGTGGGTTTTGTGGAAGAAAAAGCATGGACAGGGCGATGGCGTTGGTTAATAGAATGTTTGAAAGCAAGTTGTCTCCCAACCTTATCACATATAACACCTTAATCCATGGGCTGTGTAATGCGGGTGCGGTCGATAGTGCTTGGCGGCTGTATCATATGATGATTGAAGATGGCTTCATTCCTGATCAGAGGACTTTTTGTGCTTTTATAGACTGCCTCGGTAGAATGGGAAAAGTTGTACAAGCACGTAAGGTCTTTGAGTCCCTCAAGGAAAAACACGTTGAAGCAAATGAATTCATATATACAGCCTTGATTGATGGCTACTGCAAGGCTGAGAAATTTGATGATGCCCGGTTATTATTCAAAAAGATGCTTGCTGAGGGATGTTTGCCGAACTCTATCACGTTCAATGCCTTGTTAGATGGCTTGCGCAAAGAGGGGAAAGTGGATGATGCAATATTGTTTGTGGATGACATGGGAAAGTTTAATCTGAAGCCTACTGTTCATACATATACAATTCTCATTGAGGAAGTATTGAGGGAAAGTGACTTCAACCGTGCTAATAGATTTCTTGACCTAATGATTTCATCTGGATGTCAGCCTAATGTGGTCACATATACTGCTTTTATTAAAGCATATTGCAGCCAAGGAAGATTACAGGATGCTGAAGAGATGGTGGTCAAGATTAAAGAAGAAGGCATGGTACCCGACTGCATGGTCTATAATTTATTAATGAATGCTTATGGATGTATAGGACAACTAGACAATGCATTTGGTGTTCTCAAACGCATGTTTGGTACAGGTTGTGAGCCTTCAATTCAAACACATTCCATTCTAATGAAGCATCTAATGGTTGAAAAACATAATATTTCAGTTGATAATGCCGATATATGGAAGATAACCGACTTTGAAATCATAACCACGCTCTTTGAGAAAATGGTGGAACACGGCTGTGTGCCTAATGTTAAGACTTACAACAAGCTTATTATAGGACTTTGCAAAGTGGAACACTTGTCGATAGCCTTTAGGTTGTTGAACCATATGAGAGAAAATGGAATAATTTCATCTGAAGTTATTCATAATTCTCTTCTAAGTGGATGCTGCAAGTTGGGAATGCACGAAGAAGCATTGAGATTGCTGGATTCTATGATGGAGTGTAATCATTTAGCACATCTAGAATCCTATAAGCTTCTCATTTGTTGGCTATTTGAACAGAGTAACAAAGAGAAGGCTGAAGCAATTTTTCATAGATTACTAAGCTGTGGGTATAATTATGACGAAGTGGTTTGGAAAGTCCTAATTGATGGTCTAGCTAAGAAAGGTTATGTTGATGAGTGCACACAATTGCGGAACATTATGGATAAAAATGGTTGTCGTTTACATCCCAAGACGCAATCTATGTTAACTCGGGAACTGAATGGAACTTAATGTGATGACTGTATGATTGTTTATTTTTCTGTGGAATGGAACATGGAGATGGATTCCTCCCATTAATATTTCATTTTTGATGAGTCAGGTTAAAGTTGTTGTACAGAGGAGTACCTGAAACTCCATAATACATTCTGAACATACTTACAATATTTCAGCAATTGAGCTGCAAGCAGCTCTTTTCTACCATTGCAGTGACAATTAACTGTCACAGACCAGTGTAACTGACAATCACCCGGGCAGAGCAATCAGTAGAAGACCAAGAGGCAAGTGACATTTTGAATTGTTATTTATTATTTTATTCTTTTCATTTAATGAAGACTCGATTCTAATTGTAACTTTAATTTCAGTTATCTCAGACATATCAGTGCATTTTTTTTGCATGAATAGTTACAAATATGTTAACTTCCTTGTTACTTGAATCATACTACATATTACAAATTTCTGCTACTTAAATTTATTCATATGTTTTATGCTTGGACACAACCTTTTAGTTATCTATAGTGTGGTGCATCAGCGCTGTAATTTAGCAGAATTTTAACTAAACGTTATTATTCCACGACTTTGTTATCAATCTCGGACAGCAGCGCGACGCGGCCATTCTCAAAAATGGAGTGGAATGGACGAAAACACGGACACTAGTACAGTTAATACTACTAATAAACACATATTTGTTAAAAACTAAAATAAATTGCTCAAAATTAATGAAGTATTCGTAGATAGAAACAATATGCATAATTCTTAAGCAAAACATACTTGCAAATGCCAATGAAATTCAATAAAATAACCTTGCCATCGTTAAAAATTTAAGAGTAATATCGTCTACGGCTGACGTGGTGCTCTCGGCTGTGTCAGCGTAGTGTCATTCCGAATCCAATCCCATTATTGTGGTTGTTCCAGTTGAGTCACCCATATGTGCCAGAACGGCACATCATGACACAGTTTCCTTGGTTTTGCCGTCCTGTGCTGAGATAATGGCCAAGTTATATAACATTTATCAACAAATACCTATAGCACTGTAGCAGCTAAATTTGAATTACTATTTTCTGCTATCTGTAATTGCAATTGACAATACTGCATGAGTTATTTTGGTTCAATATAGAAATGTGACTGTTATGAACTTGTTTGTCTGATCTATGCTGTAGTCCTTTTGACATTTTTTTTTTATAATTCCGGGATTAGTCTGTCCAAAAAGGTGACTGAGTGACCTGTTATCTTTTCTGAAAAATGCATTGATTTTCCCTTTATTTTATTTTCATAGGTATTCTATTTTTTGCGACTATTGTGACCCACAGCAGCAGAAGCTGTGGTAAGACAACCCAGAGATTTTAATAGTTCAGTCTTCTGTTACCCTTACAACTATGGTTGCAGGCTCAAGATTGAATTTTAATTGAAGAATCGATGGTATTAGCATCCATTTCAAATGCAAGTAGTTGCTGTAGTTAGTGGCAGCCTAATATTCTGTCACTATTATTATATCAAAATCTTCATATTTTTCTGCACAACATAATTGAGGAGTTGAATACCAAAAATATGTCTGCAATGTAAACTGAAGAAAATAAAACGGATAGGGAAATTACTTGAAATTTTTTTGGGGATTTGAGAGTGCATTTCAATGTATGTAATAAAAGCCGCTCCGGCGTCCAGAATGCATAAAAGTAGTACCATTAGGCTACAAAAGTATTTCAAGACCTATTATTATGAGTGAATTTTTTAATGCATCCTAGGGAGTTTTGATAGTTTTTAGGCATCAAGGAAAATTATTTAAATGTCTCCAAATTTCGGAGATGTATTTTCGACGCACTTATTTCTGAATAAAAGTTGACATATTTCTGAGATATATTTCTGAAACTATTTTAAACATTCAAAACATATCACTCAGAAGTTATTTATATTTAAATTGTTTGGAGATGCATTTTTGGTAATATTCCAGAGATACATCTTTGAAGTGTATGTGTTTTTCACTATAAGTTGTGTATTTGTTTTCAGATGAAGTATGACGCATGATTCAAAATTAAAAAAATAGATGTATAAAATAATAAGAGACTAATATTGAGTGTGTTGAAAATAAAATAGCAATATACGTAGAAAATGTCGTACAATTGAGATTCAAAATGTAATATGAAATTTTGACAAGCAGATCACAAATGTCTCAAGAGATGTCGATAGATTGATTTCTGCATAACTGAACAAGGCTAAAAACAAGAACATCCAAATACTAACATCCAAATACTGCAAATACATTACAATGTCATGACATATGTTGTAACATCTGCAGACTGGCAGAAAAATTTATCCAATAATTTAAATTGTGCAGAATTTTAAATGCAGAAAGATAAATAACACAATGAATTGTTAACCCAGTTCGGTGTACAATCACCTACATCTGGAGGGCTACCAAGCCAGGAAGGAAATCAACTATCAGTGGTATAAATTCAGAGATAAACTTCTCTGTTTACTCTACATAGTGCAACTTCTACCTAGGACACTCCTAGATATGAGAAATCACCATCTCGCTCCCAATCATCGCAGTGATAAACAAATACTCACAGTCCCAGAGAATGCCACAAGAAACCAAAAAGAAAGATGTACCCTCCTTCTTTTAAGAACAAAACTAGGTCAAGACTCTTGACCAAGAATAATACTCGATTTTGCTTAAAAACTTCAACCAAGAATAATACTCAACGCTTGGCTTCGAGTGAGAACAATATACAACCTAAATATGTCTACCACGATGCATCAAAAGATGCAAAGGATGATTTACAAAGTCACACACAAGATACTCTTAAAATCCTAAACCCTTATGTTGCACCCACAATTTTCTTGTTGTGAATGCTTATTTCCTTTAGGTCTAACAAGTCCTTATTTATAGACTCTTGTAGTATGAGCTTGGAATCCTCAATCAGGTCCAATCTTCACGTTGTAAATCTTCTGCAAAATCTTCTCCACAAAAGTAGGAACAAATGTTTTATAGTTTCCTAAAATGTCTCAAAGATCTTTTTTATGAAATCCAATTTAATTTACAATTTGTTCCTAATAAATCTCCTTGACATGCGCATAATGATGAGGTATATCCAAAAGGATCTTATCAAATCAAAACAAATATGTCAAGAGATATAAAACAGCAGCGCCTGCTGTACCAGAACAAGATGTCATGTCATCTGTCTTCGACATCTGTCTGAAACACATGACAGTAGTATAAAACAGCAGCGCCTGCTGTACCAGATCAATATGTCATGTCATCTGTCTTCGTCATCTGTCTGAAACACATTACAGTAGTATAAAACAGCACCGCCTGCTGTACCAGACCAAGATGCCATGACATCTTTCTGAAACACATGACAGTAGTATTGTCATGATAGTTGATGAAGATGTTATAACATCTTGCTCAAAATTAGTGTAGAATCACGTTTTACCAAAATTTAGCCAATCATAGAACCATGGAACTAACATAATAAATCGTAAAAATAAAGTAGAGAGTAAAGTATTACAACAAAATAATAATAGACTTCTATTGTGTGTGTCTGACAACATCTCCTCTACCTCCTATGTCTGCTCTGCCTCCTTGGTCATTAATCCCCCCGCCTTCCGACGATGTCTTTGGTACAACAGTGTCCCCTGTCCCTCCGTCATGATGGCATCCAGAACTCGCTTGACACCAGACCCGTTAGGGAAGATACCCTCGTCAATGCCTGCCCGCACAATCTCCACCATGTGACGACACTTAGGAAAGACATCATCAGTATGATCTACCTGAACTTGCTTCTCCTCTAGTATCTTCTGATGAGCTAGTCTCAGCGGATCTCATAGAGCATCATACACCATGTACGAATGTGACACCCTGAAGAACCATTTGATGTACCCCTGACGTAGCTCCAGTCGTTCGGGACTATGGTAGCTCGTGCCTCCTCTGGTACCAGATGACTATCATAATCAACAAACATATCATCTATCTGTCTACGAGTCAAGGCAGGATGAGTAAAGACAACATGGTGTCTGGGGATAGTCTAGATGTATCTGAATTGTGCATGACGCGCTCGGGAAGATGAGGAGCAGTGATACGCGATCCACAGTCCAACCACCCAGAGTATAGCACTATCTCGTCAAATGATCATGTCTGACGGTGATCCATGTAGCTGTTGAAGTGCATGTCCTCAACAATCAAACGGTCAAGATAAACTCTGAAAGGCTCGACCGTATGGTTTCCTATGAGCGGGATAAAAGCACAGACACACAACATATCCTCAGTGTACTCATCCACATTCGCCCAACCAGTAATGAGCAGAAAGACACACGATATATTCTGGTTCACAAAGAAACTTAACAAGAGAGAAAGACACACGATATATCCTGGTTCGCTTGAAAACTATCAAGCTAATCTAGTCTACCTGCCAAGGTCATTTTGCCTTATACACAAGGACTTAATCCACTATAATCAACTGATTACAATTTGCACTAGCAACTGCTGGTGACTAACAACAAAGACTAAGTGTCTCTTCTTAAGGATTCTGACCCAACTGGTCCCTTAAGGAATTACAAACAACTGTTTGAAAAAATAAATGTTTACAATGAATTGCTTCTACACAAGCAGATATAAACATTATGAATATCACAAATTACTTAAAGAAATTTTGATAGTATGAATATTATTCTTGCTTTGTATTGTATTTATTCACTACTGTTCTTGTATATTTCGTTTCTCCAGTTTTTTTTTCTTTAAGTCGTCAATTCCTTATAAAGCCAGTAAAGAATTCGTTTGAGGGCACATCAGGAATATCCTTGAATGAGCTGTCGGCTTGAAGGAATGTCGTTACGTGGGGATGAAAATCATACACAAAAGTTGTCTCTTGTTCCACCAAATCAGGGTAGTGGAATGAAATGTTTTGATACGTACTATATACTATTTTCCCTCTTAAAATTTTGATCTTATATTCTGTACATCAGAGCCTTCTGAGTAGAGATGATTGAAGCATGCGTACAAGAGTTGATCACTGGGTCTTCAGAATCTTGAGTCTTCAGAGTCTTCAGAACTTGTTCACCAAAACCTTGTCTTCAGAACTTTAAGCACTCAGTCTTTAGAACCCTTGGTCTTCAGAAACTTAAGTTTTCAGAATCTTCAAAACTTCGTTCATCAGAACTTGTCTTCAAAGTCTTCATAAGATAGCGACTTCAAAAGCTAGACAGCCTTCAGAAGTAAAACGTCAGAGTTACGTTCAGAGGCAGAATCCAAGAGAACATTGCAGCAACAACATATTGTCTTCTTAGAATTTTCATCCTCCCTATATCGATGAATCTCCCCCTTATCAGAAGATGTAATAAACATGAGACATCATCGAGTGTGATAGACATCTCACCATGCAGGAGGTAAAATGAAGAGGTCTCAAAGTGTCATCTCTCCACGAATGCATTAAGCATCCCGTGGTTGACCATAGTGTAATCGGTCATGCATAAGTCCTTCAGACCAAATAAGGTCAGAATCGAATGAAACCAATCTGCCTCCTGCTGAGGCAATGCAACAGTCTTCCTCCCGTGGTTAAAAAACTTTTGAGGATCACACTCTTGAAAATTTTCAAAAATAATCAATGTCAGGAATAATCAATATAACAAATTATCAATTTTAGCAATTAAAATTAATAAAAAAAAATAAAGATCCAACTAATGTTACCTCTCTGTCCCAGATAAGTCTGACAGTGTGGTCTGGATGCAGAGGAAGCAAGGACAAATCATATGGACCTCCTCCAAAACCTTCTGGCTTGACATCCGTAGCAGCTTCACCCTCCGGAGGTAACACTTGATCAGTAGTGGGAGGTGGGTTTGAAACAACAGTATCATCCGTAGGAGGTAACATTGGTGAATCCTAATTCCTGCGGGAGGATGGGGGAAGTGACACGTCAGATGGTGAATCCTGTGTTCTACGGGAAGAAGAAGAAGTTAGAGTGGCCTAAGGTGAAGCACGAGCCCCAAGAGTAGACAGCGCCCTAGAAGTCGGCGCCTCTGCCTGACCAGAGGTACCTGGAGCCTCCGGAACCTGCTGGCTCCGCTCCCGTCGAACGGATGCGTGTTGAGCAACTCTGTCATGTCTCAGTCTGTCTACTCTGTCAGCCATTATGCATGTAAAATAAAGTAAGGCATATCATTTTAATGCACGCAAACAACACACACAAACAAGAAAATTTTAAAAAAATACTGTAGTGCATATCCGTAAACACCATAAAGCTATAACGTTGAACAATTCCAGAGATGCATCTCCGAAAACACAATAAAACTATAACATTGAACAATTCCGAAGATGCATCTCTGAAATTTCCAAGTATATGAAACACTGAACAAATCTGGAGATGCATCTCCAGAATGTTGTGCAACACAGAAGTCCCGTCAATGACGAACGTACCTCATTCAAGTTAAAGAAAACATGATTTGATCGTCATTTTCAGCCAACAAACAGGTTATACATTATGTCTAAACTATGTTACATGTGATTTCTACACATTTAACCCTAATCATTAATTCCTATTCGATTATACTAAAACTCGAATATTGACCGAAAACTCGAAAAACTTACTTGAAATTGATGATTCATATGTTGTTTCCAATATTAGAGATGATATTTGATGTTCCTTTGAGTTCTTTTGATCCGTGTTTGATGAAATATAATTTGGTATAGGAGATTGTATTGAGAAAAATGTTGTGTTGAGTCTGACGCGGCTTATGCTCCAAAATGTTTCAGAGATATATCTTCAAAATATTTCAACGTTCACTTACGTGTGAGTACGTCCGAAAATATATATCTAAAAGCAGAAGACATTTTTAAAATTTCACGTGGAAGAGCATTAGTTTGTGCATTGTTAATGAAAAATGATGTTTTCTTTTAATTATCAAAACTATAAGTGAGTTGGACTATGGAGATTTATGTTGCTCATAATATTTATAGATATACTTTTCAATTATCCATCAAAACGATAAAATTTGTGTTGCTCATAATATTTATGAGATTGAGATATGATTAAAAGTTTTGTGCTAAATTTTGAGTCAAATATCAATATTAATATCAGATATTCTCTTTCTTACATTTATTATTTATCACATTTACATTTTTTTTCTTTTTTCAGTTACATATAATTTTCAAAGTACAATTCAGTATTAAAAAATTAAAAATTAAAATAAAAAACTCGTAAAAAGGAAGTGAGAGAGTAATATACAGTAATAAAGATTTTAAATCTTTCACAATTAGTAAAAAAAATCCTTTTTGATGTTATTTAACACTTCATATCAAAACTTTTGACTGGGAATAATTATTTTTTGATGAACATAATTGTTTGATTTCAACATTAAGAGGAGGGAGAAGAGCGTATAATCCATTCCCAAACCAATTTTAGCTCCTCTTCAACCCGGAGGAGAGTTTTAGGAGAATTTTTTTCATCTGAACTGTCATTTTATTTGAAATAATCTTGAATACATATTAGTCAAAATGTCTCCCCTGTGTTGATCCAAATAGAGTTGAACATTAATTGAATTTAACAACAACAAGGCCTTATCCCACTAGATGGTATCGGCTTCATCAATCAACTCTTGCTATAAAAAAAAAAAAATCCTGTTTTAGATAAATGTAATCTTTTGACCAATCTATTGCTGATTTGATGCTCATCGTAATATTATACATCTCAAATGATTTTCATACTTAGAGTATTAATATTTCATACCCTAAATATCTAGATCTTTTAAATCCTGCTGTGGGTTGATCAATCTACTCATTCAAGTCCTTAATCTTCTTGGCAGATTGAATACATGATAGGTTAGTGCTGTACCGATTGAAAAATCAAGACAACTAACCAATAACTGTGATCATGTGTTGAAGAAGAGTTATTTTAATATAGACTGACAATTTTGACATAGACCTACCCAAATGTAAAATACTAGTATAGCTATTTACTAGAGGGAGAAGTTAATCGATTTTCTTCTGAATCGAGCTTCGTTGAAGAATCCCCACCCATCAATTCCTGGAAGCCTTCCACTTTCACAGGTGGTGCTCTAATCATGCTGATGTTGTTCCTATAGGCAAATAATGAAACAACAGCTTCAATAAATATAACTTAAAAGCCACTCTAGCAGTAGCATTTATTATTTATTTGAATTAAAATTTACTTACTGTGACTGCATTTGGGGAGTCTGTAAGGAGCTCATCTGTCTAAACTGAGTGTTAGATTGAGGATGGAAATTTGACATTGCAGCCAACTGCTGCTGCCTAAACTGCATTTGAGGATGTCTGGAATTGAAGGCATTACCATCACTTGGTAAATCTGATGCGCTTTCAATCTTCACTTGAACCAATGGTCTTTCCTTGTTTACATCCATAGCAGGGCGGGGATTAGATTGTTGGTTTCTCATTCTCTCTAACTGCAGCTGCTGCTGTTGCTGAAAAGTCAGACTGTGGGAATTAATCATCTGCTGCATCTGTGGATGCATCTGTCTCTGCATCTGGACCTGCACGTCAACAAAATATTTAGTAACACTGCATCACATAATTCATAAATCAATAACCCCTATCTCCATCTGCTACAAAAAAGAGATGGGTGTTTTTTTTTACGAGGGTGGAGAGCTTGCCACATTTTTGCGATGCTTAAATCTAATAGTTAAGTACAAAATATGAGGTTTGAAAAAATAAATGAAAATATGTTGTATAAATTGGACAATGGCTAAACAAAAGAAAAAAAGTCGCCAAGAGTATTGAGAGTGGATGTGAAGTGCAGTCTTATCCAAGTCACACCATGCAAACCATGGTGGTGTGCAGTCTTATCATGCCATACTTCACACCATTATCTTACAACATCAAACAAAGCAGAAGGAAGTAGATATAAGTACTTGCTGAGGTAGTCGAAGGGAATTCTGTTGTTGTGACTGTAACTGTGACTGAATTCCATGAGCATGTAGCTGGCCTTGTTGTACAAGATTCTTGGAGCCATCTTTAACCACATCCACTAATGGTGCAAAATTACTGTGCGCAAGACGGAAAAATATTAAAATTGATCCATTGTATGATTAAGATATCCTGATTTGCAAAATAAGATATCTTAATTTAAAGCAGACTAGAAATCAGGGAAATACCGCCTACAAAATGCACACATATTACATTCACGCAGCAAAAGGCTCACAGCAGCACTACAATTTTTTGTCAGGTATTTCTCTTCTCTCTTCCTTACAGGGTTTTACTTAAATAATCAAGAACGAGAATAGAGTAGTACACTAGTTGCTTTTTCATTAGATGAAAATAATACATAAATTGTAGTCTGTGTTCATTACATGAAAATAAAACATAAATTGTAGTCTTCCTTACATGAAAATAAAACATAAATTGTAGTTTATGTTTGTTTGTGTTTGTGTGTGTTTGTGCGTGTGTGCTCATGCATACCACATAATCAGTAGTAAATTGCATTTTACTGCATTTTTAAAATGAATTTGGTCCTGCCTAATATATATATATATATATAAATAACAGAATAAGGTCGAACAATATCCAAGTATAGAAAACCCAAAGATAACTTGGATATACATAATATTTTTTAAGATAACTTCAAGACCAAGTTATGTTTTGGGGGTGGGGGTGTTCATTTTTTTTAGATGACTTATTCCTCGTTTCATAATCATAGGAATTTCAATAAGAACTTCAAACATACCTAAAACCCATAGTTTTAAGGAGCATCTTTAGAAGTTCAATGGCGGAGCACTGTTTTTTGTAACAATCTGTGAGTACTCTCAAATTAGTTCCTATTTTAAGAACACGCTTGCTCATCACTTCAGACAAGTATTCAATTGGACCTTCCATGGAAGCTTCAAATCCCGCACCCAACAAAATGCGAGCCACTACTTTCTGAGAGAGTTTCCTTGCTTCCTCATGACCAAGAACTCTTCCATATTCCTCACAACCTGACTTCCCACGGTACAACCCTCCTCCATGTTCCCCATTCACGGACTCAGCCCTATTCCCAAGCCTCTCAGTCATAAGAGGATTCCGAATCATAGGCAGTGTATCAAGCACACTATTTATCCTCACTTTCTGGTTATTATTATTCTCCACTCTTTCACTCACAGGAATTGCACTCTCAGGTACACAGTTCCATGCATACGTTATCTCTGGAAAAACAAACTCATCATCATCAACAACTAAATTACCACCGTTTGATTGATCCATAACCTGATGCTGTTCTTCCTTAAACACTACACGTCTCTTTTTACGGTTACTACTACACGTAATATAGGAAGCCATCTCAGATGGTGAGCGTTTCGTTGTCAATTCTCTGTCCCACATAACTAACTTCTTGTTAGCCTTAAAATTCTCAATAACTTGATTATACCAAGTTTCAGGCAACTCAGAATCAGCATATCTGGATCCAACCTGCATTACAAAAGAAAGAGCTCAGCACTTAGGTGCTACATACAATTGATAATAGAGTGAATCACGGTTTTGTTCCTCCAAATACACCAGATGACAAATTAATCTCTAAAGTTAAAATTTCCATTGTCTAGAGCATACTCAGTTTGCAGGCATTCAGCACGCTCAATTTGTAGCATTTAATCACTTTTACTAGTTTTCGTCAGTTTGTTACATATTCTTTAAACATGAGAATCTGAAAGAAAATAAAAACTGTTTCAAATATAAAGTTGTTTCAAGTAACTTCTCTTAAATTATTTTTGAGATAATTTCTTTTAAAAATTGACTTTCATTATGGTAAACAAACATGAAATACACCGCAAATTCTAACTCAAGTGACAGAAGTCGATATTGTTAGGTCGGACGCCTCACCGGGGTTCAAATCCTAGTACTCACGGTTGTGTGTGAGTTTCTAGTGGTTATTACCACTTCGTCTATAGACCAAAAAAATATCAAATAGCTTATGTTTTTCTTTAAAAAAAAACTACTTTAAAGTCTTTGATTCTGCAGCAACAAAATATTTGATTTTCACTTAATTTATTCTATAAAATTGATACGGACTAAAATTGAATTGAAAGTAAATGCGAAGTGATTTATATTTGTATACATTCGTAAAAGTGAGCTGAATAATAAATTTGAATCTAAAAATCATTTCAAGAATCAAAAGCTCCAGCATCAAAGATAGAATAAACTCGAAGGTAAAATCAATTCTACTAGTGAGCAATCAAACATGTCAAAATCAATTCTACATATCAAGAATCAATTTAGGCTCCTAACCAAGCAAACACAGAGTTATTGAATGTAGACGAACCTGAAATTCAATTCTCTAAAAAAATTCAAAGAAAACAAGATCAAATCTTGTAGTGAAAATCACTTTAATAATCTGATAAACAAACTGGCACTAAATTCAATTTCATAGATCAATTAATGATTCAGTAAACTTCAACCCTAATTAGTTAGCATACAATTTCATACCCCAAATTGGTAATCAACTCAAATGTAATAACAATTGAAAAGATAAACAAACCTTGGAGTTAGAGGAAGAAGGGGAATTGCTGCTATCGAGAGTGAAGTAGATGTCATCAGCGTGCAAACGAAGAAAATTAGGGTTAAGCTTAGAGAGAGAGGGTTTTGAAGAGAGAGAAACGGAGGAAGCTTTATCGAATAGGAGAGCACGGACTCTGAGTTGAAGGTGAATATGAAGGGCAGATTGGGAAGAATCGGATGCCATGAAGGAATCCCAAGCGGAAGGAGAAGAGAGGAATTGTGCGAAAGTGGTGTAGTGGGAATCGCCAAGCCATTTTCGCCATACTCCATTGGATTCAAGGCTTCGAGCTAGCTCGTAACCGCGACCGTCTTCGCCGAGTAGAGACATTGTTGCTTCTGCTTGATACTGCCACGGAACTAGCTACGGTTTTAACTCTTTGGATTGTTTTTGGTAATTTGGTGGTTTTTGACTTTAACTTGACTATGAGATTTTTCATATGCAACCTACATTTCCTTAGACCCTCAATTTTCCATAAAACGGAAGATTTATTTTTGTCAAATTTTTTAAGTAAAAAAAATCATTAAAAAATCTGATAGTATAAATGAAAAATTCCATATGTATTAAAAAAATTCAGTAATGTATTTAAAATTTTTGATATGCATTTATACCTGTTTTTTTTTTTTTAAATTGGTGGGTGAAAAAATTTATTGCTTTTTTAAAAATATAATTGCATATCGGAATTTTTGACAAAACATTGAAACACCGGATAGTGTAAGATTATCAATTTTATAAAAAGCTTATGCATTTGTGGAATTTTTAGAAGGTCTATAAACATAAGATAGTGTACTTTTTAACATTTGATATTTTGTTGATATTTTTTATGGCTGTGATTGCACCGACAGTTGTGTGGCTATAATGAATTCAAATTCATATAAATAGGAACCATGTGTTAAAAAAAATATATCTTAGAATGTCTCACTATTTATTTAAGGCATGCATGTATTTCAACGGGGTGAAACCTCCTATTGATTTTAGGATTTTGGAGGACACCACGTGTCTCGCTCTACTAAGCTGAGATCCAAATTAAGTAATATGTTGTCTGATACCGAGAACAAAAAGGTGAGCAAGATCGAGTTTCGTGCACCATGGATAATACTTATGGAAAGGTGAAATACAACCATATTTAACTAATGACTAATGAGGATTTGAAAGGTTATCTGGAGAACAATCTTTGTAGGTTAACAAAGGGATCTATCGAGTTTGATGCAACAATTTCTAGATTCGTCAATGAGATAATTAAGATGTTGAAACCTTCAAATCCATCTAGTATTGCTTAAGTTTTGTTATTTGTTATTGTTTTGTTATGTCATGTAATCGTACGTGTTAAGTTATGTTAATCTTCATGTGTTAAGTTATGTTATTTCTCAAATTTTAAGTTATTTATGTTAACATCAACAATAAGAAAGTGACAAAATGCTATCTAGGTCAAACATTCCTTGCATAACTAACCAATTTGTCCGCTTTGCCTTGCGTTCGTTTCCTGTGGAATTTGGCTTCGCTTCAAAATACTTAACAGATCAATGCACTCAAGAGACTACCCTTCTTTAATAATCCGGTGCAATTTGGCTTCATCACAAGACTTTTTCAAGGCTCGGGTTTTTGCAAGTTCGAATCAAGATTCAGGAAGAGGTTATCGGGCCATGACGAAGGCAGTTGTTTTCAAGGTGGATAATCATCAGGGTCGTTTCTTTCAGTCAGGATTGAGATGGAAGTATACCTTGTATCAAGTCATCAATGTTGTGGAATTTTGGTGTGGTTCAAGTTGGTTGATAAAATGGAGTTATAGAGTCACCTAAAGACAAGATGGAATTACAAAGTGGTGCCATTTCTCATGGATTTTTGATTCAGAAGTTCAACGCCTTTATGGTTCTAGATTGAGCATGCCATGCTCAAGTCTATTCGCTAGATAACTGATTCAATGTTAAGATCATTTCATGTGGGAAGAGCAGGAATTCACGCGGTTTGTTTTCCAAATATAAATTGGAGAGTCAATTTCAAGATTCAATTTTTCCTTTAAATATGGTTCATGTTCAAGTCAGAGTGGAATTTCTTTTTAAATCTCTTTGGGATGCCAATAGATGAGCTAAAGAATATAGATGTGGATTACAGGAAATCCAATTCATGCTTAGAACAAAAAGGGGAAAACAAATTACAGTGGAATCATTTCATTGATTATGAGTGGAAAGTATTACATGGAGTGTTTAATTTAGAATTGACGCCCTTATACAAATCAAATATGGGGGAATCACTTCTAATTTAATATTCTACAAAGTATATTAAGTCAAAAATACAAATCTTCAAAAGTGTCTCTTACGAATGTGGGTTGAAGCTGTCGGTGGAGTATTGTGTGAGCAATATAATCTAGGCCCCCTCTAATATATGATTTTGGCAATTCAAGTAGAGATTGTTGTTGCTTTTTGTTTCACGGTTGTGTCTCCAACTTCCATACCACAGTTCAAGTTATCTTTCCATATGTTGTCAGTCCCATACAGCCTGCTGTCAAGCTATTGCAGCATTGCATTGAGACAAAACCTGTGCAAAAGTAAACAAACCATGTCAGCCATTGGATGCAAAACAAGGCATACCAAAACAGTCTCATAAAAGAAAACAAGTCTGTCCATCAGTCAAAACCATACCACACTTGATATCAACTCTACACCAAAATCAAGATGAGCTGTTCGGTTTTACCAGCCAGTTTCAATTCAAAAAAGATTCAATTCATCACATCAAATAATTCAAAAGCAAGTTCCCAATCCAATCCATAATTCACAAAGCATGACAAATTCATTCATAAGACTTTTCTCAAAATCATAGAAATAATTCCACATCACATACTCAGTTTTCAATATACACAAAAAATAAAAACAACTTCATACATGTTTATTTAAGGGACCGAGCAAAACAATGTGACTACATCATCCCAAAGCAGAACCATACCAGCACATTAAGATCTCTGCAGTTCTGTTTTCCAACCAATTTCAAATTCTTTCAAGCCATGTCACATATGTCTCATTACATCTAAATCACAACTTTCAATTCAATTGGACATTTTAAACCAAAAGCCACAAATTCATGTCATATACTCATCATATTTTTGGCATTGTTTTCTTGTCACATAAGGTTAAAATTCAAATATCATATGCAAAGGGTCAATAAGTTCATAGCAACAGATTCAAGGCAGCAAGTTTTCAAGGAATCTCAGCAAACACATCATGATTAAGGAAATTAACAGATGAGGCATAACAGAGAAAGTAAGAAGCAGTTCTATCTTTGTGAAAGCAAAAAAACTCTATCAATTATCCCTCACACAACATGTCATAAATGGGGAAGAAGTTAAAAGTGATTCATCAGTTAAAATTCACAAGCAAGTATCAATCGAGGCAAAGAAAATCAGGGAAATAGGTCACATGTCTCACATATACAAAAGAAGAAGTTTTAAAAACAAAAGAGGTTTTTAGAAAAGAGTTTTAACACCATTATGGAAAAAGACAAATATTCAAGCAGAGGTATCATAGCATAACAGGTCATTAGGGGTGCAATATACATGAAGGAGGCAAGTTGAAAAGGGGCATCAGAATATAGCAGAAAGGGATTAACATTCAAAAAGGAAATTTAATAGGTCTGATAGTAGAAAGTGATTCTTTTTGACAGCAGAGAGTTTTGAAATTGCTTACAAAAGTCGAAGGTCTCATAGCATAGAAAGGGGGATTCTTGGAGTTCCTAATTGAGAATTGACCAGAGAAGTTCCGATTCACTTTCACCCCATTGAAAAAAACTGCATAGGAATCTCAACCAAGTGTTAACAACAAAAACTCAAATAAATTGAAAAATCTTCAAGACAGAGAAAGGACCAATTTCATCCTTTTAAAAGAACAACCACATTCAAACAAGTTCAGAGAGCATCAAAAACAGAGGAAGAATAAAGTCGATTTTTATTCTTTTCAAAGAACGTCCAGCACGGTATTCAGGCCAGAGAAGAAGGGAATTGAAGGAAGATCACCTGAAAATCGCGGTTGAGAGCTCGTCTGAAACCAGTCTTCAAAATGTATCCTTTAAAATTGACCTTTCTCCATTTGTTGATAAGATTTGCTCTGAAATACTTGATGTAGCTTCGCCTCATTCTACTTGAGTGAGTTTCCCCATTTCGTCTGGGTTTGTGTGGTATTGGTTTTGTAGGAATTTAGGGTTTAGCTCGAGTTTAGGGCGATTTAGGTTTCTGTTAGGGTTCAACTTAAGCGAGAGGTTTGTTTTGGTTGCGATGAGAGTGGTTTTCTAGCTGGAGAAGATGAAGTAGCCGCCATGGATGTTCTTCTTCAGCAATTATTGTAGGGTTTCGTTGTTACTCATGAGAGGGAGACCGAGTTTTGACCTGTGTTTTGCGTACGTTACCTCTCCATTTCCATTTAAGCTTGGTCACCGCTTCGTCTTCCCTTGGTGTTTGGAAGGACGGTGACACGTGTCACCTTCGTAGCTAGGATGCCTCATTATCTTACTCACTATCCGATCCTTTGAATCTCCCAAAATTTGCCTTCACGGTACCCCCTCAAAGCCCACTGTTTCCATCAGCTTTGGTTGTAGTTGCTCCCTGCACCCCTCTCTCTGTTTTTAGATTTCAGTCTTGTTTAGTTCTATTATCGACTTAGTTTATTAATTTTTTGGACTTACCCGTCAATCAATATGTTATTTAGGACTAATTAGTGAGTATTTCTTTTTATTTATTGTTAGGTTCTAATTAAATTATTTAGTTTTTTTTAACTAGAATCATTTAGTTTAATTGAGTTTTAACTAATTTGTTATTTAGATTAATTATTTAGCTTAAGTAGAGTTTTGTTAATTTTCTTTTTAATTAATTTTAATTGTTACTTATTTATTTTATTTATTTATTTATCTTAATTTAATTCCTAATTTAATCTTGACATTCCAAAGGAAGGGTTTCCTGTTGACTTGTAAGTCATACCTTTAGGATAGTTTAGTAGCTTTCCTGCCTACCTCTTGACCTTGTTAGGATTTGTCCCTTGGCCTCGTTAGAGCCATTTTTGCTTGTAATTTAGAATTAGGTTTAGAGTTTGTAAACTCTACGTGAGTATCACCGTTATGATTACTCACTTTCCCCCTTTTTTGACTTTCGTTAAAGTCAATCGTTAGGTTAGTCCTCAACTTAGACTTAGGGAGTTTGTTAACTCCATGTAAGTACCATGGTTATGAGTACTTCTTCCCCTTTGGAAGCTTGATCGTTATCAAGAGTTCCTCGTCCCTAGTTAGCCGAACTACGGAGGCTCTGATTCCCCTTTCCTAGTCAGGATACGTAGGCACAAGATGCGATATCT